AAATAAATAAATTTAAAATTAAAATTTAGTAAAAAAAAATTACCGCATTGCAGTAAAAAAATATTGTATGTATTAAATGTATTCAAATCAGCATAAAATGTATTTTTGAATTATGACACTTGACAAATTCGCCTTTTTAAATGATTAGAAGATGCCGTTAACGATTAAAGTTGTTAAGTACTGAAGCTGTAATTATTTGGTCCTGTATTACTGGTTTATATTTATTATTTATATATATATATATATATTTTTTTTTTTTTTTATTCATAGCGGGTGTTGTTTTTTTCACTTGCATGCCAAATTTTCCCTGTATGTATGAAGATAAATAAATAAATGTTGTATATTTAAAAAATTATATAATTGTATATAGGATTTGAATCCAGGTCTCCTAAAAATTGTTGTTCTTTGTTCATGTTCTATGTTGCTTAGGAAAACAAATAAACCAGGACTGGTGCGAACAGATGAAAAGCAGTTTGTAATGTAATTGTAATGCATCAGCAACTATTGGCACAATGTGAAATAAATTCCCAGCATGGTCATGAGTTCTTCACGGATAAATAGTGCATAATTGCTATGTGCTCCATCTGTGTTTCACAGTTATAAAGATTTAAAGCTTTCATTGACTGACCAACAGATCGTAGCGGTTTATAAGAAAGGCTTTGTGCTCCAGAGAAATGATTCCTGAACTGTACTTTCTAATGAATGTTGTTATAATCCTCCTCTTGTCTGTGATTCATCCTCACAAGCTTCAGTGTGTTAATTCAATCATTTCAGCTGATGTGTTCAACAGAAGAGCTTTAAAATAACTTTCATGGCCTCCAAAGCAAACCGAGTCAGTGCTGAGCTTCTCTTATCAAATGTGTCATCAGGTTCTGAAGGAAAGCGTGACGTTCATTCACAGAGATGCAAGCTGATACTGTTGTGATGATTCAGGAAGAAAATGTGATGAATGAGTGCTATTTTATTTTTGTTTTCTTCTTCCTGTAGACCTCACAGAGAGCAGTATTCCCGGGTGGATGTTTGAGAGCGGTGCGGTTTTCCTTCACGGATACGACAAAGAAGGAAATAAACTCTGTAGGTGGATTTAAAATGTCCCTCGCATGTTAAAACTATAGTTCAATGTGTAATTTAATACAATAATACATGCTTTTAATAGTGCTCATTTAGTGAAAGCAGCGTGGAAACATGTCTTGATTATGAAAAAAATATATTTTTACTGATTTTACCCTAATTTTTAGTATACTGTACTCGACTACAGTGACTTTGTTTGAAATAATGGTTCCTCTGATTGGAAAGAAACAAACAAACAAAAAAAAAACATTTTAAACCAGATCAGAAAAAAAATACATCAATAGAAGTACATTTTGAATATAAAAACAGTATTAATAAATTAGTGTGTGTGTGTATATATATATATATATATATATTACACATTTAAATACTATTTATATAAATGTATAATAATAATAATTATTACCTCTAAGGCATTAATATTACTATTGTAAAACAAATGCACTGCAAAATTAAATTAATTTATAAAATGTATTTATTTCATAAAAAGTATGTAAATTATTTGATATAGTTAATTTATTTATAATTTGGATAGTTATTAGGGTTGCAAAGGCGTGGAAAAATTCCGGTAAATTTCCGGAAACTTTCCAAAAATCCCTGGAATATTCCAAAAATTCTTAGAAAGTTTCCAAAATTTCTGGAATGTTACCTTTTTGCAACCCTAATAGTAATAGTATATTTATGTAAGTTTACTTATTTATATTTATTTAGTCATTTTTATATATATGTCACAGCAGGATTTCAAACACATGATAAATCCAGTGAAATTCTGTAATTATCTGTCTTCAAAAATTTTTGGATATTATGCAAATGTGAAAATAAAGCATAACTGGCATACGTTGCATTCCCCAAATGTATGTTAAAAGCACAGCGCACATGTGATTTACTGTAAACCGAGATGCTGAAAACAACATTCTTTAGCTGTATCGTTCAATTCTAGTCTAAATGAAGTATAGTACTATGCTAGAGTAATTTTCTTTTATGATATTCGCTTGCGCCGAATTTGCCCTGAAGAATCAATGAATGATATCCCTCCATCTGCAGCTCTTTCTGTCTGTGTGTTTCAAATGCAGTCTGGTTCAGAGTGAAGCTCCACGTTAAAGATGCCAAGGTGATATTGGATAAGAAGCGGTATGTGGCGTTCTGGTTGGAGCGCTACGCCAAACGTGAGCCTGGGATGCCGCTGACGGTCGTGTTCGATATGTCGGAGTCTGGACTCAGTAATATAGTAAGTTCTTTGCTTTACTCCGCATGCTTATAAATGTTGTTCAAGTTCGGTCTAAAACATTTCAATACTAACTGGTTGACAATGCTATGTAATCAACGGCTGATATTGTTTGATAATAGAAATGTCAAACTGTGATTCTCCTGTTCCAGTTATACTGAAAATAATTAAATGAAAGGCAGTTCGTCTCTTTTGGATGCATTTTATTCACTGGGTTGATTATAAATATGTAATATTAAATTGTATGTATATTAATATATTAAATTAACCATTTTAAATTTATATTATATAATTGTATATGTGTAATAGTTCAATATTTTATATAACATTTTAATACTATATATATATATATATATATATATATAATATATATTTTTTTAAACAGTTCAAAAGTTTACATACCCTTGAATATTCATACTGTGTGTCGTTTCCTGGATGATCCACGACTGTTTTTATATTTTGTGATAGTTGTTCACGAGTCCCTCGTTGGTCCTGAGCAGTTCAACTGCCTGCTGTTCTTCAGAAAAATCCCCCAGCTCCTGCACATTCTTTGGTTTTCCAGCATCTTCTGCATATTTGAACCCTTTCCAACATTGACTGTATGATTTTGAAATCCATCTTTTAACACTGAGGACAATTGAGGGGCTCATGCATAACTATTACAAAAGGTGAAAACATTTACTGATGCTCAAGAAAGCCACACAATGCATTAAGACCCGGGGGGTGTAAACTATTTAAATTGGATGATCAGGTTAAATTGTACTTATTTTGTCTTCTGGGAAACATGTAAGTATTTATGTAGCTTCTGAAGTCCAGTACTAAATGAAAAAATATGATCGTTAAACAAAATGAAAAGAATTTACACATCATCATCCGGTTCAAAAGTTTACACCCTCTGGCTCTTACCTTGCCTCCTTCTTGAGCATCAGTAAATATTTTCACCTTTTGTAATATTCAGTTGTCCTCAGTGTGAAAAGATGGATCTCAAAGTCATACGGTCACTTTTGGAAAAGGTTCAAATGTGCAGAAGATGCTGGAAAACCAAAGAATGTGCAGGAGCTGGGGGGTTTTTCTGAAGAACAACAGGCAGTTGAACTACTCGGGACCAACGAGGGACTCATGAACAACTATCACAAAATATAAAAACAGTCGTGGATCATCCAGGAAATGGCACACAGTATTAATATTCAAGGGTATGTAAACTTTTGAATGAGGTCATTTTTTATAAATTCAGTTATTATTTTGTTATATTATTTTTGTATATGTAAACATCTGTTATGTGAAATACCATATTCAGTACAGTACTAAATAAACAATAACATAAATGTACATATAAATATAAATATATATGTGTGTGTG